ATTTGTAGGTGTAATTGTTAAATTAAATAAAGCCAGTCCTTGGGTGGTTCTAATTGTTACATCTTTAAACCAAAGAGCCCAAAAATTACAAAGTAGCTCTGAAATTATTTTTCTTGATTCAAGCTCAAGCTGTGATGTTTCGATGGCCTCAATCACTGTAATTTTAACTGCAACTAAAGGTGGTGCTGTTCCAATTGGTGTTTTGGTACATATGCAACAAACAAGTTTAGCGTATGAAAAAGGATTTAAAATGCTTAAAGAGCATTTTCCTAATTGCTTTGGAGGATTAGAGGTAATGGTAAAAATAATAAACATTGAATTTGATAATGGGTTTAAAATGTTATTTAAATTATTTTTAGTTATTATTATTATATTTTTTAATTATCAAGTTTAATTTCTTATGTGATAGTGTGAACAAAGACAGTATTATGTTTAAAGAATTATTATAATTCATATTTTTCTGTTCAACTAATTTTGTTTAATTATTGTAGGATACTTAATGTTAGTCTTACACATCTTAATATCTTATAAAACAATAAAAAAAAATATAGTTTAATTTATAATTATATTGTAATGTTAAAAGTTAAAACATTATTCACCAAGTTATTACATAGGTTTTCATGACTCTATAGTCTATAGTACTGATAATAAATTAATCTGTATCACTTATAGCTACAAAAAGTGAATTGTATATCAATGTAACATAAAATTAGTGTCATAAAATAATTTTTCACTTTACATTTTGTGAATTTTGTGAACTTTTATCATTTTAATTACACCAACTTTTTTTAATACAAGAAAAAGAATAAAAATCAATAATTATTAATTTATAACCAATGCCAAATAATTATTATATTCAAGATTCTAAATAGATGCTTAAAATAAATTTATTTAAAAAAAATATTTCATTCTAACAGATGTTTAAACAACTATGATACTATATAAACCTAAATATTTAATAAAACAACAGTAAAATATTATTAGATTATATTTTTTTTCTTTAATAATTAATACTTTTAATTTCATTCCTACAATAGAAATATTTTCTTATTTACTAATTAATAGCTAGATATTTTATACTTTTCAATTAATAATAATATGGAATATTTTTTAATTTAAAAGTAAACATTGAATTTTTAAATTTCTTCTGATTTTAATAATTAAAAATATTTGATTTATGGATATTAAATATTTTTTCTTAAAAAGTATCTATAAAAACTTTATAGTGATACTACTGATACTAGTAAACATATTTTGATTATTATTAAGTATTGAAAGCAGGTTGATCATTAATTACTTTGTTCTTAATTTTAAATTGCAACTAGTATCCAAAGATCATAATGACTGATGATTCTGTTGCCGAAAAAAATGCTATTAAATAAGTTTGGCCCTTAACAACTCAATCACTTTGTCTTTTTCATTTCATGCAAGCAGAATGGAGAGGGCTAATGTCAACTGGAAGTAATGTATTACCCACAAAAAGGCAGAATTTAATGAAGCTTTTTAAACAGGTATCTATTTTAAATTACTTATGCTGAACTTATTATGAAAATAAATACTATTGTATTTTTCAGGTAGTATATTCTAAAACTGATGAAGAGTTTCAAGAGTCTATAAATAACATAAATAAATTAGAAAATAATCAAAAATTTAAAGATCGTTTGCATGAAAATTTAAAAAGAAGCAATCAGTGGTCAATGCTTTATAGAAATAGTAATAGTCTTATAACACGAAATAACCAAACAAATAATTATTCTGAGGCATCTATTCGTATTTTAAAAGAAATTGTTTTAGAACGCACAAAAACATATAACATAGTTGCACTTATTGAATTTATTGCTATAATTTGGGATAAATATTTTATAAACCGCTTGTTAGATTTTGCTTATAACAGAAGATCAAAAAGCCATTTTGAATCACAGCTTACACGAATGTCAACAGTAGACATATGCTCTGTGGTGCAAATAGATGATTATGTATATAAAGTGCCTAGTGCTAAAGACAGTAAAAAAATGTACGAGGTTAATACTATTATTGGTTGGTGTAGCTGCTATAGTGGTCAACAAGGGGGATTTTGCAAACACCAAGCATTTCTGAAAAAACATTTTCCCAACTCAAAAGAATTTCCAAATTTTCCAGTAGTTAGTTGTAATGATCGCTATATTTTAGCTTTGCTTGCTCTTGGTGATGAGTGTCCACCAAAACCTTTTTTTGAAGTAATGTATACTACGAGTCTTTAAAACAAAATTTACTCAATATTTAAATTAATTAAGATGTTAATTTTGTAAATGCAGGATGTTTATGAATTATCAACACCTCAAACATCTGTGATGGAGAAAAATACCTTAGTTCAACAAACTAAAACAATTGTGTCAGAAAGTGATCAAAAGAACTGTAGTGCATCTAAAGACCAACAATTACACTCACATGATATTTCATCTAACAATATACTGGACCAGCAGTTATTGACTGAACAATTTTCAAAAAAGTGGACAGAATTTTCAAATTCTATAAATAATCTTGGACTTGTTTTACAAAAAGATATTTCAGAAACAACCATAAAATATTTGACTATTTTAACAAAAAATATACAAAGTAAAGTTACTCCTTCTCAAGCTATAGACTTTGTTATTAATAGTTCTTCAAGGTAAATGTTTAATTAGTATTTACTGTTTAATAAATATGTTACCAATTATACAATTGTTTATTTATTTATTTATTACTTTAGTTCTAAACGAGGAAGGCGTATTCGTGATCAACCAACTTCAGTGGCTAGGAGACGCGGAAACTACAAGGATACTCATAGAATTAACGCAGGAAGACCGTCTACAGAAAATTATTCCTCAGCTGGAATACATAAAAATATAAAAA